GGTGTAAGACAGAGAAGGGGGATCGATAGCCAAGAACCTTAGAAGGCATGCGATTGATAAGGTATGTAGCTGTTAAAGTTGCATCAGCCCAATAACTTTTAGGCACTTCCATTCCAATTAGAAGAGAACGGGTCACCTTTGTAATACGACGGTGTTTTCTTTCAGCTACACTGTTCTGTTCTGGTGTATCGACACAAGAGGTTTGATGGATAATCCCGTTATCAGCAAAAAAGGAGGCAAGACCACCATACATAAACTCTCCTCCATTATCAGATCGAAGGATTTTGAGGGGACAACCAAACTGAGTACATACCATCCTATGAAAGGTTTTAAAAATGGAATGAACTTCATCTTTGGTTTTCATAAGATAAAGCCAAGTACATCAACTAAAGTCATCAACAAATTGAAAACCAAGTAACGAAGTAGTAGATTCAGGACCCCACACATCAGAATGAACAAGCTGCAAAGGAGCTGTATTTTTATTAATACTAGTAGGATAAGAAACACGTCATTGTTTGGCAAGAACACATGTTTCACAATTTAACTCAAGATTCAACAGAAGCAAACTGGGGAAGCACATGCTTCAAAACTGGAAGAGGTAAATGACCTAGTTTATTATGCCATTGCATTAACAGATCTTTATTGACATTACCATTCCTAACACTAGATTGATTTGCAGCATAATAAGAAGTTGGCTTCGCGTTCAGCAAATACAAGCCATTGTCCTCACGTCCACTTCCAATCATCTTCCCCGTGTTCAAGTCCTGAAACACACAATGAGATGGAAAAAAAGTTACACTACAATTTAAGCCTTTTGTAATGTGACTGACAGAAAGGAGGTTATTGGTAAACTTTGGGACATGATAAGATTAGGAGAGGCAAAAATAGTGCCTTTCCTCGTAATGGAGGTGAAGGTGCCATCAGCCACTCTAACCTTATCCTTACCAAAACATAAACTGTACGTACCAGTTATGTGATCAGTGGTTCTTGAATCAATGATCCAGGGTGCTCCACCAGATAATGTGGAAACTTGATGTGCCGAATGATAGGTACCTGTCTGAGCGAAGTTAGAGGTGGAAATGGAGGAATGTTGTGATAGTAGATTTCGGAGAGAATCAAGTTCAGCCCCGGACAAAGAATTCGGTGGCCCTGAGGAGGCATGACCAATAGAAGCAATCTCACGCTCTACAGTATGTGCCGTAGATAACCTCCTAAATGGACCAGGCCTTGGCCTAGCATTCACATTAGCAAGAGCTGGAAGTAGGGCGACTGTGTAGATTCTGGCATGTTTCCCTAGTGTGGCGCGTACGCCCACAGTGATCACACCTTAACTTGCTTTTGTCATCCTGTTTCCCTCCTTTTGGTGGATTGGGCTTGTTCCATTATTGTGTGGCAAGAGCAGACCTGTCAGACAATGGTAATTCTGGCTCAGGCTTAGTGTATACAAGTGCAGACATAGCCTTCATTCTACTCTCCTCTGCCTGGATATACGAAAGCACATCTCTAACAAAAGTAGGGGTTGGATACCTGCGTAACACTTTTTTTTTTTTTTGATAAGTAAATATGTATTAGAAAATGTTCAAAAGGGGTACACGTCCCAAGAGCTGTACAACCTGCCTAACACTTGTACCCTGGCATGCTCGTATCTCGGATGCAGACTACCCAAGAACTAATAGATTCAATTCCTTTCTACCATAGCATGAAATACTTTAACATCAGCTGCACACACATATATGTAGTCTTGGTAGTGATCTAACTCTTCCCATTTACCACATAGAGTGTGGTAATATGTAGCAAGAGTTTGGTCTTCTTGCTTGAATCTTGAAATTTGTTGTTGGAGTTCATACAGTTTTGCAAAATTACCAACTGAGGAATATGTCTTTTCCACAGCTGTCCATAGTTTTTTAGCTGTTTTCACAAACAAAAACCCTTTGCTGATTTGTGGCTGCATGGACTGCAACAACCACGTCATAACTAGCTCATTATTTGCACTCCACTCTTTGAATTTAGGATCGCTCTTGAAGGGATACGTGACAGTCCCTTCGATATGGTCGATCATCCTACGACCAGTGATATGCATACGAGCAGATTGAGCCCACTCCATATAGTTCGTCTCATCCAGCCTAACAGTCGTAATACAAAGGCCTGGATGGTGATCACTACTATCTCTCAATACTGGAGTCAGACTAGGAGAAGACCCAAATTCTTTTGAAGTCACCTTTGAGCCAAACATATTATCAAACAATTTCTGGGTATACAATCCTCAGAAACAAAAACAGCAACAAAACACGTAGAGAACCACCTTTCTAACACAGGAACTTCAACTAAAAAGATTACTGTCTTCTGAAATGCATAAAAAAGTGACTACATAGTCACCACACAAACCCTAGAAAGCAACAAAGTAGACTATACCAGAATTGCGAACGACGAAGAAAAAGCCGTTGTTGTAGAACCCCGCGAACACAAAAAAAACACCGATCGAGATTGCAATAGCTTAAAAAAAAAAAAAAAAACCCTTCCTTGCAAACAAATCCCATCTTAGAATCTTTTCAAAACCCTTCACACCCACTAGGGTTTACACAAACTTGCCCTAGGGTTTCAACTACAAACCTAGAGCTTTACAAACCATGCTCTAATACCATGTTGACTTTAAGATATAATCAAATCAAAAGTAAGTGATAAAGAAGAAGAAGAAAAAGAGAAGAAAGCGGATGAGAGAAAAAGAGAAAGAGATGGGGAAAGAGAGAAAGAATAAAAGAATACTTTCATCCTTCCACCACATTCTATTTATAACAAGAAGTTTTAGAAATTACACATAAGCCCCAACATTATATAAGTGATAACAAATAAGCCCCTGACAACAGGGTCACCCTCCAATAGACAAGAGCATGGGCCCCTACCCTTTGGCCCCGCCAAATGTCAATTAACTCCCTTGAAGACCGTGACATAATCCAGTGGGTGCCAAAAAGACCAAAAATAAGACTCTAGCAATCATAAGCGATAGGACAATGCAAGATGGTCTTCCAGGCCGGTTAGATCTGTTGCTGGCGTGGGAGTGTGGAAATTTATTCGCAAGGGGGGACAAGCTTTCTAAGCATATTAGGTTCAAAGTTGGGGAGGGCAGGGATGTTTGGTTCTTGAAGGATTATTGGTGTGGGGGATTGCTCGTTGTCTCGGTTGTTTCCGAGACTTTTTAGGATTGTTGCGGATAGACATGCTACGGTAGCGGACTGTTATCGGCTTGATAGCGGAAGGCTTACGTGGGATGTGCATTTTCGGCGTTCTTTTCAGGATTGGGAACTTGAGGATGTCCTTGGCCTTTTCGATCTTTTGTATAGGCAGGACATGAAAAATTTATCAAGAATAAACTTAGATATTTATCCTCATAGTTATCATAAAGGTACAACAAAAAAAACAACCAAGACTTTTCCCAATTAGTTGGGATCGGCTACATGAATCCCATGTTTCCATTCTGCTCTATTTAAGTCCATAGTCTCAGTCAATCATATGCTATCATATCTTTCTTTACCACCTCTACCCATGTTTTTTTTTTTTTTTTGATAGGTAAAGATGTATAAACAAACATGCTCAGAGGGGAGCGAACCCTTACAAAACAAAACAAAAACGCAAACGCATCAATACAACGATAAGTTGTCAACAAAATCCAAAAAACCAATCTACAGATGGGCAGTTTTTCCCATTAACCCAAGAATAAAGAGAATGCAAAATGTTTGCCTTGATAACCCACACTGACGATTCCTGTCCTTCGAAAGATCTCCTATTCCTCTCATGCCACAACCCCCACCAAATACAAAGAGGTGCAACCCTCCACGCCTTCCTAACCTGACTTTCTACTCTATTCCCTCTCCAAGCTTCTAACATATCCCTCGTATTACTTGACACTACCCATTCCACCCCAAAAACATTCAGCATCAGACTCCACACATCCGCTGCCACCCTACAATGCAACAAGAGATGATTGACCGATTCACCCGCCTTCTTACACATGCAACACCAATTAACTGTAATTTGGCGTCTTTTTCTGAGATTATCCAAAGTAAGAATGCTGCCAAGTGCCGCTGTCCACGTGAAAAATGCCACCTTTATTGGAGCTGAAGTCCTCCAAACAGCCTTCCAAGGAAACCCATTGCTCATCGAACTCGTAAGACTTTTATTAAACAGCCCCACCTTAAACACCCCTCTAGAATCCCCCTTCCACACCATCTCATCCCTTCCTCCCCCCTCCACCACTTGGCTATAGATTAATCCCATTAACTCGGTAAACTCCAACAACTCCCAATCATTAAAATTTCTACGAAATCTCACATCCCAAGTAGCTCTCCCATTCTCTAACCTAAAATAATCTGCCACCACCGCATGCTTCACCTCAACCATCCTATAAAGTCTAGGAAACCTACAAGCCAACGCCACATCCCCACACCAAACATCTGTCCTTACCCTCAATGCGGACTATGTCACTTTTCCTAGCCGGCGTACTTAAAGGTTTTCTTTGCACATGTCCAAACCATCTTAACTGTCGCAATAATCATAAAGGTTCTTGGAATTTACTTTTTAATAGACATTCTGAATAAACTTACTTATCAAAAAAAATATATACATTCTGAATAAACTTAAATTTTCTTCGTGAAGATTACCTATTTTAATAGAAGTCTTGTAGTTTTAATGTTAATTTATCGCCACTCCTATTTAAACTATACTACTAATCCATTATTTTACTCCTATTTAGACTATACTAATTATTCATTCAATCTTTAAAAAAGGTTCCTTGACCTTATGATGTATATTAAATCATGTTTACTCCTTTTTGAGTACATTACTTGATATCAAATTTCAATGTTTCACATTATTATTAAGGGCAATATGGTTTAATACTGTGTGTTATGTAAAACTTCTGGTTTGAATGTAAATCTTCTGGAATTGAAAATACTAATGTGTTCTGTTCTCTCTTCCTCTTATGTGCATGTATTGGGCAATACCAGCAATTCCCGTCCTCTCAATGTGAGTGGTCTTTTTATCTCATCTATGCACACACAATAATGTTTACTTTCTCCCTATTGCTCTTTTTACTTTTTAATTTCTTTTTTCATTTTTTGCACCAAGTATCTCCACCCCACACCCCCCTCCCCCCCCATCATTGTTGTATTAGTAGTTGTTTTCATTATGTTTTCTGTTTATTTATTCCAATTTTCATATGGATACTTAAATGATTTGCTCATATGCATTTAAGACACATTATTCTTCATATTAATTTTGTATACTAGATCAAATGTCATGCCACATGGATCAAGTACCTGAATTTTCTGTGAATTATGGTGTAATTTGTTTCGATGTTTGAAGCCGTTTGATGGCCCTTTTCTATTGTTCGAAGGATTTAAATATTAAAGTTACACCCTCTCTAATAGTTTTAAGGGTTTTTTATTTTTTATTTTTTTTCCCCTAAATCGTTTAAGCTTCTTTTAGAGTAGATGGTTGTTAACATGGTATCAGAACAGTCAAGGTCCTGTGTTCTAACCTCACTATCACCCTGATAATTACAATTGAAATGTGTGTTGGACCAAAAGAAGGCCACACACGAGGGGGCGTGTTGAAGGGTTTAAATATTAATTTTACACCCTCTCTAATAGTTTATGCTTTTATAGTAGATGGTTGTTAACATCTGTTATTGAATTACTTACTGAATTTCGGGACTGATTTATTTGGACCAATCCAATCCTATGGGGTGCGCATAGGGCTGGTGAGTCTTCTTGGATGATTTCGGGTCAATCAAATTGAGATAAGCGCAAGTCCTACCAGTAACAGTGAAGGTGGATTGTGTTGTGTCGAGACTCTTGGTGATAATCCCTCCCTTCAAATTAGTCCTGTGAAATTGGATGGAAGCAATTACTTATGTTTGCTATCGGTCAAGGCTCGTGGCTTATATTGATATTTGACCGGAGCATGTAAGCAGCCCAAACCTTCAGAACCCTTTTTTGATCAATGGGTATCTGAAATTCCTTGGTCATATATTGGGTAGTTAACTCCATGCAGCCACATATCAGTTGTGGCTATCTTCTTGATTCCACGCTTGCCATTAGACTTCTGTAGCTTAGACCTATTCTCAGATTGGGAATGACGCATGAGCCTATGAATTGAGGAAGAAAATTTGTGAGACCAAACAAGGAGCTATCTCTATTGCGCAACATTATACTGATCTTAGAAGTATGAGGAAAGTGTTGGGCTATAATCAGGATGTTGAGGCAGATTGTGCCAATGATGGTGCCAAATTTCAAAAACTACCAGACAAGGAGCATGTGTATTATTTCCTAGCTGGGCTTCACATGGAGTATGGCCAAATCCATGTTCAGGTGCTTGGTAGGGATCCATCTGTTCCCGTCTTTGTGCAGGCTTATGCATATGTTCAGCAAGACTTATCAAACAAAAAAAAAAAAAAAATGCATGTGTTCAGCAAGAGGAGAGTCGTAGGAGAGCTATGATTCACACTATGACTCAGGATTGCTCTGTTCTAGCTTCTATTCCTCAGAGAGATCAGAAAATCAGGATAACCTAGGAAATAGTGAGGGCTCTGGAGAAGGAGCAATTTAAGTGGGATTTATGCAGGAAGATGAGGAACACTAGGGATCATTGTTGGAAACCCAATGGTTGTTGCTTGGTCTGGATTCCCTCCTAGTCTTATGCATGTCTAGGAAGAGGAGAGCCGTAGGAGTGCTATGATTCACACTGTGACTTAGGCTTGCTCTGTTATAGCTTCTATTCCTCAGATACATCACACAAGGGTAGATTAGAAACCTCTGGTAGAACTGTAGAAATTCTCTCTGTAAAATATTCTGCCTCATCTATTAACATTAACATCTTGTACAAGTATATATAGGAAAGAGGGAAAGCTATACAAGGAAAGGAATAAAAAATATTCCTACAAATCTGTTCCTAATTTAAAGCAATCAATCTATCCTAATTTACTGCAATTAATCTGTCCTACAATCTTGTTCTAATTTACCATAGTGAGAAATCAATCAAATCCCTAAAATCAAGGGAAATAATATATATCTTCCAACACTCCCTCTCAAGCTGGAGCATAGATGTCTCGAATGCCCAGCTTGTCAAGTGCCAAATTGAAAGTCGTACTTGACACTCCCTTTGTCAAAAGATCAGCAAGCTGATGTTCTGTCTTCACAAACGGAGTGCAAATTAATCCACCTATCAACTTCTCCTTGATAAAGTGTCTATACACTTCAACATGTTTAGTACGATCATGTTGAACTGGATTGTGTGCAATGCTAATGGCAGCTTTGTTATCACAAAAAAGTTTCATTGGATCCCTAGAATTAAAGCCCAACTCCTTTAACAAAGCCTTTAGCCACAACATCTCACAAATACCATGAGCCATGGGTCTAAATTCTGCTTCAGCACTGGATATGGCCACAACAGATTGTTTCTTACTACGCCACGTGACTAGATTCTCTCCCACAAAGGTGTAGTATCCTGAAGTTGATCTTCTATCTATTACACATCCTGCCCAATCAGCATTTGTATATCCTTCCACTTCGAGATGACCATGGTTGGAGAATAGTAGACCTTTCCCAGGGGCTGATCTTAAATACCTGAGAATCCTGTGTACAACCAACATGTGTGTTTCGTAAGGAGCATGCATGAACTGACTTACTACACTCACCGCATAGGCTATGTCAGGGCGAGTATGTGCCAAATATATTAGCTTCCCAACCGACCTTTGGTATCTCTCTTTGTCTATAGGTGTATCATTTGTGCATTCACCTAACCTATGATTTTGTTCAATTGGAGTATCAATAGGTTTGCAAGCCAACATTTTCAGTCTCAGCCAATAAGTCTTAAGACATATTTTCGTTAGACATATTTTCGTTGGGAAACAAAGATCCCCTTCTTTGACCTAGCAACTTCAATACCCAAAAAATATTGTAAAGACCCAAGGTTTTTGATCTCAAATTCTTTTGCCAAATATGCTTTCAGCTTACCCATCTCCTCACCATCATTACTAGTCACCACAATATCATCCACGTACACGATTAAGGCAGTAATCTTACCTACAAGTGAATGTTTGAGAAAGAGAGTGTGATCTGACTGGCTCTGGTGGTATCCATATTTCTTCATGGCCTGAGTAAACTTGCCAAACCAAGCTCTACATGATTGCTTGAGTCCATATAAGGATTTCCTCAATCTGCATACGTTACCTCTTTTAGAGGAATTAACAAAGCCTGGAGGAAAGTCCATGTATACTTCTTCCTCTAAATCGCCGTGAAGAAATGCATTCTTCACATCAAACTGCTGAAGAGGCCACTCTAAATTTGCAGCCAAGGATAAGAGGACCCTTATTGTATTTATCTTCGCCACCAGTGCAAATGTTTCCTGGTAGTCTATCCCATAGGTTTGGGTATAACCTGTAGCTACCAATCTTGCTTTGAACCTCTCCACTGAACCATTTACCTTATGCTTCACTGTGAATACCCATTTGCAACCAACTGTCTTCTTTCCCTTTGGTAGCTCAAGAATTTTTCTGTAAAGCTTCCATTTCTTCAATCATGGCAGCTTTCCACTTGGGGTTGTCAAGAGCTTCTTGTAACTTATTAGGGATTGTCACGGATGATAACTGGTTTGCAAATATTTTATAAGATGAAGATAAACGATGTGAAGATGCAGAATGAGAGATGGGATATTTTACAAATGAAAAACTAAAACGAGAGGGAGGTTTTCTTTCTCGAGTGGGATAACGTGCCTAATTCTCAATAACTAATTCAGTAGCATCATGTGGTTAATCAAGTTGATCAATAGGTAAATGAGCTGACTCATTAATAGAAGTACAATAAAGCGTTTAGAGGAAGGAACTACCTCAGTATTACTAGTCACAGGAGCGCTTAATTAGTCATTGGGTTGATGAAGAGGTGGCTGAGTTGTCTGTGTCTTCTCCCTTCTTGAGTGTACAAATCTGTGTGGCTCAAGGAATTTCTTTGAAGTCGGTGTAGAATTTGCAGGAGATTCCTTCGAAGTCGATGCAGAAGTTTCAATAGATGATGATACATTGGTTAATGGTAGTGGCAACACCTCCCAAGACTTCTCTTCATTTCCCAAATTCTTCCCCTGAAGAGAAGCATTTGAATCTCCCCCTGAATAGTAAGCCTGATTTTCAACAAAAATAATGTCCATGGAAACAATTATCTTTGCTGAAGGAGGGTGATAGCATTTGTATCCCTTTTGTGTGGTAGAATACCCCAAGAAAATACACTTTAGTGCTCTCGGATCCAGCTTACTCCGTTGTTGTTTGTGGATATGAGTATAACAAACACAGCTAAACACTTTGGGTGGAATGTGAAGAAGAGTTGGAATAGTGTGTTTTTTTTTTCGATAAGTAAAAATTAAATAAAAAGGCGTTCAAAAAGGGAACGCGTCCCTTATACAAAAGTGGAACCGGGGTCTAAGGCCCCAGAGAATCCAAAAAAATGATTAAATCATCGGAAATGGAGTAAGAACTCCTCTTCACATAACTGAAAAGAGAGCGAACAATATAAAGTTTCAGCGTCGCCGTGGACGACTCCTTCCCTTCGAACATTCTTCTATTCCTCTCCTTCCAAATGCACCACCATACGCAATGTGGAACAATTCTCCAGTAATCGCTTACACCACTTCTCACACGACATCCTCTCCAAGCATGAATCAAATCCTTAGAGGAACGTGGCATTACCCAAAGCATGCCAAACAAACCAAGTATAAGATTCCAGCACCACGGGGCAATACATGAGGATATGATCAACTGACTCACCATCTTGTTTGCACAGGCAACACCAATTAACAAAATAGTTACCTCTCTTCCTCAAATTGACGATTGTCGTATGCCACGGGGCAATGCATGAGGATATGATCAACTGACTCACCATCCTGTTTGCACAGGCAACACCAATTAACAAAACAGTTACCTCTCTTCCTCAAATTGTTAATCGTCAGGATCTTTCCCCATACAGCTGACCATACAA